GCCATTCACAGGCTCCCGGTCCTGCTGCACTGTCAGTACCAGCCTGACCCGGGGGAAGGAGTTGTGCTCTGCGGTTGGGGAGCTGCTGTGGGATCACACCTCCAGCCTCCCGTGTTTGTCCCCTTAATGCCAGTGCACAGATCGTCTTCATCCTCTTCTCCTCCAACTTCCTGGGCGTCTGCTGCAGCCGATCCCTGCACTACCAGTTCTACGTCTGGTATTTCCACACGCTGCCCTACTTACTCTGGTGCACCCCTACCGCCAAGCTCGCCCACATGCCCAAGTGCGTGCTGCCAGGGAGGGGGACCACCCGGCTGCTGGGGGATCTGGGAGCGAGGGGCAGTTGGCGTGTTCCCCCCCCATGCTGACCCCCAGCTTTCCTCCCTGCAGGGTGCTGCTGCTGGGTGTGATCGAGCTCTGCTGGAACACCTACCCCTCCACGGTCTGCAGCTCCCTCTCCCTCCACATCTGCCACGGACTCGTCCTGCTCCAGCTCTGGTACGGCACGGCCCCCCCACCGGCACCGCACACCCCCCCGCCGAGCAGGAGGCCCGCACCCATCTCCAAGAAGGCCCAGTGAGAGCGTGACCGGCCAGACGATGGCAACTGGTCTCTGGGACTGCCCCTTTTGCCTGCTCTTTCCCCACCTGGCTCCCAGGCTGCCACCAGCCATCCCAGGAGGGCTGCGAGCCCTGGAACTGTGCGGAGGGGGCAGCGTGGGGACCCCCAGCAGGCAGGACTTCCCCAATAAAAGGGGGCTTCGTGTGGCCTTCCCCAGCCGCAGCGTCCTCGTGCCGTGACAGCGTCGGGACGGCTGTGCCTCAGCACTGCCCCACCTGCGGGGAGGCAGAGCAGCTGCCGGGGCTGTGGGAGCTCCCTTCCCAGCCCTGGGAGAGTGCTGCCCCGGGCAGGGGAGCAGCCTCTGGGGTGAGGTTACGACAGAGGATCTGCAAAACCGCTTTGCCTCAAGGTTTGAATCGCCTTGATGCAGCCCAGGGAGCCCTCCAGCACAGCTTTTCCTAGTCCCCTGTCTGTTCCTTCCCATGGGAGATGGCTGGGAAGGGGGTGACCCCCCCAGGTGAGCTCTGGTGAGCACCAGCGTGGCCTGAATTGGGCCAATGGCTCCCTGCCCATAACAGAGATGCCTGTGCAGGCAGCGTGGAGCCAGGCATCTTTATTGGCCCCTCCGGCGGCCGTCAGACATTGTTGGGGTTGTAGCACAGCATGTTCAGCTTGATGTTCTCGTCCCAGTGACGCAGCAGCAGGAACAAGTGCCTGGCTGCCCCTTTGAGGCAGCCCACCTCCACCCCCTCAGGCAGCCGCTGCGCCTGCAGCCACGCGTCCGCCTTGGCCGCCACCAGCTCCCACTCCTCGAAGAAGCCGGCGCAGCGATGCTCCAGCCAGGCCAAGGCCACCGCCGTGGCCCAGCTGGCGCTCTCCAGGTCCTCTGGCCCCGCGTCCTGCCAGCTCACGCCAGCCTCGGAGGGGGCAGCCGAGTGGGGGCCGGTGTCAGACTCAGAGCCATGCCCGCTGTCCGCCTGCGCCCACGCGGCCGCGCTGAGCACCTCAGAGCAAGTGCTGCGGGTTGGGGGCGAGCCAGGCTGTGGGGCTGCGGCGGGCTCCTCGCCCTCCTTGCTGCCGGGCTGTGCCTCAGGGCTGCTCCTGGCCCCCGGGGACGTGGGACTGAGGCTGGCTCGGTGGGAGGCGTAGGGGGAGGCCCGGCGCAGGCGGTCCAGAGGGATCTGCACCACTTCGGAGAAGCTCTCGGTGAGCTGGAACGGCCCCTGGGCTTGCTGCAGCTGCACCTGCAATGGGGGGGCAGGCGACTGGGGGGGCCAGGCAGGGGCGCAGACCCACCGCGGCCCCCAGCACTCAGCGGTGGGGGCTGCAAGAGCGTCCCTGGGGCACAGAGACTGTCCAATGCTCTTCCCCCCCCCCCCCAAATGTCAGTAAAGGCCCCCGGGGCCATTCGAGGATGCAGCAAGGCTGAGTTGGCACCCACTGGGTTTGCATCCTCAGCTGGGTGCTGCTGCTGGTGCTGCCAGGCATCGCCGGGGCGGCTCGGCTGCAACCCAGCAGGGAAGGTGCCTGCTCGGCCCCTCCGGGTGGGACGGGGTCCTTACCAGCGGGAGGTAGTCGTGGCTGGCGTGGTTGCTGGAGCACTCACTCTCTGGGCTGAGGCACTGCGGGCGCAGTGCCAGGCTGGGCCCCCTGCGCCTGCTCAGGCTAAACCTGTGGGGCAAACGGGCAAGTTAGCGGGGTGGGGGGCAATTCCTGACGGGCAGCTGGACGCCAGCCTGCTGCAGGGAAGGGGCTGGAGCACCAAAACCCGCCCCTTACGCCACAGGAGCTGGCGGGGAACATAGGACCTGCAGCACTCCAGAAGTGGCACTGTCCCTCTCTCCCCCCAACGTGCCCTTTTTTGGGTCCTCGCATCCCTCCCCACCCTGCAGCCTCACCTGGAGCCGGCGATGCTCTCTGTGGATTTCTGGGAGCCCATGGAAGTGGTGGAGGGGCTGGTTGGAGGCCCTGCAAGGCGGGGAGAGCTGAGCATGGGGGGCCACGGTGCACCCAGAGGTGCGTCCCGCTCCCCAGTGCCTGTGCCTGGGCAGTGAGGGCAGGCGTGGGCACAGCAGATGCTCCAGCTCTCGGCTGCCAGCAACAGGGTGCTGGGGGCACTCCCAGCCCCCCACCATCCAGCCCTTGGCCCCCTCCGCCCTGGACGCACCGTTCGAGCAGTTCTGCTTTTCCCAGCCATAGGTAGGGGAGGAGATGCTGGCCGGAGACCCGGGGGTCTCATCTCGCTCTGCAAAAGAGCAAAGCCCTGAGGGCTGCTGGGCTCCTGGGACCTTCACGGCCCGGAGCTGCTGCCAGGGCCGCTATGCTGCTCCCCTTGTCCCCCTCCCAGCATGGGGCAGAAACCAATGCCTCTTCCCAGGCATCCACAGCGCTCCAGCCAGGACCAGCCCTGTGCAGCCATGAGTTGAGGGTCCCCAGGAGCCCCGGTGCTCAGGCAGGGCCCTGGGGAGCACAAGCCGATGTAAGGGCCTGGACCGGTACCTGCAGCGATGGGGGCCTCATCCTGCTCCTCCGCATCCCGCTGCTGGCCCAGACCCACCGAGGAGCTCCTGTGGTGCCAGCTCCTGGCCGCGGCGGCTCGTGGCCAGCTGGCGCTGCAAGGGACAGTGCCACCTCAGCCCTCCGTCCCCTCGCTGCCCCCTCCCCAGCACGCCGGGCCCCCCCGGCCATACCTGTGCCCCACACCTCGGGGGCTGCGGGCAGCGGTGCCTGTGTGGCACCATCCACGGGCACCAGGCGGGTGTAGAGAGAAGGCACGTTGCAGGCTTTGCTGGTTTGCATGGCTTTCAGGCGAAACCGGCGGGAAAAACCTGACCAGAGCAAGGTGGTTAGAGGTGGGGGCATGCCGGGGCTGTGCCGTGGTGGGGGACATGTGCACCAGCACCCACCCTGCTCCAGCTCGGCTTCCCGCTGCGCCGCGTTCTCGTTGTCCCGGATGACGGAGCGTGCTGCCAAGCGGTGCAGCGGCTTGTCCCAGCCCCTGCCCGCCCGCCGGGGGGGGGCCTCCCTGCCTGGCCCCTCCCGGGGCTGCAGCAGCGACTCCAGCGAGGCCGTCACTTCCCAGGACACCGGCTTGCCGGCTCGCAGCCCGTGGATCACCACCTGGCAGCGCAGGGGCAGGCTGGCATCGCCCAGGCTGGGCTCCCCCGGCACCGGTGAGGCACTGAAGAGGTAGGAGGGCTCCACCAGCATGTCCCAGTCCAGGTGGGTAGGCGAGAGGAGGTTATCTGGACAATGGCAAGATGTGGGCTCAGTGAGGCGGAGGGTACACAGTTCTGCCCCTGCTGCCCTCGTCCCCTCGCAGCCAGCACGCACTCGACTCCACCGTGCTGGGCTGCAGCTGCCCTGCCCGGGGTCCCAGCTCATCCAGCCGCCCCTCCAGGGACTGGTTCCTCTTCTGCGACACCTTCTCCAGTGCCCAGCACAGCCGGTGGGCATCCAGCTCCCCGTGTGGCGAGGAAAAGCTGCGGCCGGCCAGGGCGGCACGTGCCAGCGCCTTCTTCCGCCGTGCCAGCTCCTCCGTGCTCTGGGCCACCGTCACCTGCGGAGGGGGGGAGGCTGATGGCGAGCCCGGCAAAGGCGCCGGTGCAGAGCCCAGACTGCGCCAAGCCGTGATGGGGCACCTGTGGCCCCGGCCGGCTGTTGGCCAGAGCCGCTGGCTGACGCCCAGCCCCGCCGCTCTGCAGGCTGGCAGCCGGCAGCCTCCCAGGGCGGCAGGCGATGCTCACCAGGCTCCTCGTACACATGGGAAGGACTGATGGCACCGAGACAGGAGTTTGCAAACATCCCTGGGGGCTGACTCAGGCTGACGCCGAGGCAGGAGGAGTTGGCAGGGATTTTTGTGCGTGCAGGGGTTTAGCTCGGTTGCTCAGGCTGGATGGTGGTAGGGTGGGATGCAGTTCCCAGCACAGAGTGATGTCCCTGCACTGAGATGCTTCACCTAAAAGCTACGGCAGGGCAGCAGGCGCCCGTGCCACCTCTCGCCCCAGCAGCAGGGAGCCCGAGGAGGATCATTTACACTGCAGGGAAATCACTTACGCTTGACATTTCAGCAGCAAAGGCCACCAGCTGTGCTGTTGTGTGGCAGGAGCAGGTTACCTAACCCGTGCCACTGGGAAGGGACATGTCCCAGAGGTGGGTGACAGCTGGCCTCACCCAGCCTCGGGGCCACCGTCACTGGGGGAGCTGCCTCTCCCCATCCCAGTGACTTGGCTGGGCTTTAAACCCGGGTATGAAGCAGAGGGGATGTGGCCCATTGCTAATGAAGCATCAGGTGGTGTTGGCCGAGGGCTGAAGGAGCCGGGCAGGGGGTCAGCCAGCCCACCCTCTCCACTCCAGCTTGGCAGGTTGGTTACCTGATGCCAGCCCAGCTAGTTTGACTTAATTTCTGTAGCATCAACAAGGATCTGAGCTGGCTAGGGGGTTTCTTCGTCCCCAGCTGTCCCATTCCAGTAGGACAAAACCACTCCAGGAGCCTCCTCGTGGCGCCCACGGCTGATTCTTCCTTAAAATCCAGGCTACAATGCTGTGTTTCCAGCCTGGCGGCCACGTGTCCAGGCACAACGGGGCAGCCAGACCCCAGCTAAGCCAGGAACAACCCCTCCATGCATGGGCCCTTGCACCCCATTGACATCCTTACCTTGGTGCCAGCTGGGACAGAGGGCAGTGGGGCGGATTTGGTGGAGGACTCGCAGAGGGACAGGCTCTTCTGGCCCTGCTGGGAGGTGGCATCGGCGCTGGGGGCCGAGGAGCCGCCCTCGGGGGCTACATCGCGGGAGCCGGTGGACTCGCTGCTGGTGGAGCTGTGGGAGAGCAGCCCCTGGCTGCGGTCGGTGCTGACGGAGCAGTGCGTCAGGACGTACTGCTCCTGGATGTAGGAGGGCTGGTAAATCCGCTTCCAGATGTCTCCCCCCGAAACGGGATCTGCACCTGCCCAGCGAGCGCACAGCCCATCAGCCCACGGTTCCTGCACCTGCCCCCCACCCCGGCCCCGGCCCCACT